TTGCAACTATTCATAAAAAATTTGTTAACTATTCGTCAACCATTCGTCAACTATTCGTCAACTATTTGTCAACTATTTGTCAACTATTTGTTAACTATTCGTCAACTATTCATTAACCATTCATTAACCATTTGTCAACCATTCGTTAACTATTCATCAACCATTCGTCAACTATTTATCAAAACTATTCATTAAAAATTTATTAATAATTTATTTATTAGCTATTCATTTAAAATTTAACAACTATTCATTAATAATAAAGTAAAAAAATTGATAAACTTATGCACGAATTTTTTTGAATTGAGGTTATATTTATAAATTATGAATAATATAAACTATAATATAATACATAATATATTATTTATATTATTATAATTTAATTAATTATGTATTATTATATAAATAATATAAAATAATATATAATGTAGCAGGCTAATTAGCGAATTTGTCACTAATGACCAAAGGCTTATGTAACCTGTAGATAGAAAAGTTCATCCTTCTATTGCACCCACACAAAACACAAAAATTAAAACAGAGATATAAAAAGATTTGGGTGAGTCTCAAGATAGTTTTCCCTAAAACTACTTATCCAAAAGATTCATCTTAAGATTCATTATTTTATTAAGTCATTAAAAAAAGTTATATTTAAACATTTTTATATATAAGGCTATTACATAATCACTATGGCTATTCTAGTATTAATTTATGTACTAATTACTTTGTAGTTAACTAACTTTCTATTACCTCAGCTTATAGCTTTTTACCTTTTTGATATGAATGGATTGTTCGTACATTCTTCTATCTTGCAAGGCATATAATAATAGTCAGCAATTGATTGTTTTGCATAATCTTCGATCATATCATGATCATCAGTCATGTGACCCCGGTGAAAATTCTGAACTCGGTCTGATTTCTTTAGCCTTTAACAATAAATATAAATGATTTTTTCACAAGTTTTATAAATTATTAAATAAATAGTTATCAAATTTTTAATAAATGATCAATGGACTTTTAATAAATTATTTAATGAATAGTTGCTAAATATTTAATGAATTGTTAATTAATTTTTAATGAATAGTCTTAATGAATAGTTGCCAAATTTTTTAATGAATAGTTGATAAATTTTTGATAAATTTTTTGTAAATTATTAATAAATTAATGCCAAATTTTTATTGAATTGCTAATAAATAATTTGTAATAAATTTTTAATAAATTGTTAATGAATTATTGTCAGATTATTAATGAATTATTTGATGAATTGTTAATAAATTTTTTGACAAATTGTTAATATGCTGATTTTTTTGATTGACAAATTTTTGATTATCAAATTTTTGATTGCTGAATTTTTTATTGTCACTTTATTGCCAAAATAATAATATATTAAGTGGCAACAATCGAAAAGAATTTGGCAATATTTTTATTATTAGATTTAATCAAATTTGGCAATAATTCAGTTGCCAAATAACACAATTTCAACTAGTGGTTTTTGAGTAAAAAAGTTTGTAAACAAAAGAAAAAAGATAGAAATGACTCTTGAAGTCATATTTCAAGTTATTTTAAGGGAAGTATTAAGACTTTATTAGCAAAGAAGCATAAAAACTTCTTGCAAAAATCTTTTTTATATGTGATCAGAGAATTAGCAAAAAGAGTTTTTTTAAAAATAAAAGATTATAAAGATTTTATTATAATAAAAAGACTTATTTTCTTTTTTTCTGACTGTTTATCTTTTTTAAAGCTTTTACTTTTATAGTCAATTTAATTTTGAATTTTAGATAACACAAATTTTTATTAAAGATAATTGGTTAGCATAAAATATTTTAATTTTTAAAATATAAACAAGTCTTTATTGATTATACTTATATGTTCTGATAATATTATTGATAATTAAAAAAATATATTTTAAAAATATTTGCTCTCAAAAGTTTAGTTCTCTAATAAAGATATTTATAATATTAAAATATCAAAAAATAAATAAGATATATATAAACTCATATCTCTTTCTTAAGTTCTTTAGATAGTAACAAAGTTTTAATAAACAAAAACTAAGATCTTAATATTTTTCTTAAGATAATTCAATTTGATGTTTACTTTAAATGAAGGATTGGTTGAATAGATAAGTCTGATATTGCAAGTAATAATAATAAATTTTTCTTTTAAAGTTTGAGTAAAACATCTTTTTTATAAATTTTGAATTATCTTTTTTCACTATTTTATTATATATATTTTTTTAATCTTAGTAATTCATAATTTTTGAATTAATCAATAGTAATAAACTATTAAAGAAATCTAATCTAATTAGAAGAATATAATAAATCAAACTTAAAATTCTTTTGTATAAAGATAAATTAATTATATTATGAAACATTTATAACTATATTAAATTTCTAATCAATTTTTAAATAAAGATATCTTATTATAATATAATTACAGGTTAAAAAAATTAATTGTAAAATAAGTTAAGATTTATATAAACAATTAAACCTGTATATTTAAATGAAAAGAACTGAAAAAAAAAATCTTAAAAAGATATATAAAAGATAATTGAAAGAGAAAAACTGGTTTCTATAAATATGAATATTTAATCTTATGAAAAAAAAATAGTTGAATTTAGAGATAATCAAGATTAAGATCCACTTCAATAATAGATACAATAAAGAAGCAAATGCTATGATCAAAGAAGTCCTTTAACTTTTTATAATAGAATGAAAGAATTTTACATTATTTAAAATCATTACAAAAATTAAATAGTAAAGTATAATACTAAATCTTCAATAAGACAATTCATCAAAAAAAGTAAATAGCATAATAACAGTTTATTAATAAATACAACAAAATAAAATCCAAAAAAAAATAGAATTGGCAAATACAAAATTAATATAAATATATATGGAATCTTATATAAAATAGAATAAATGATGGATATATATAAAACACTTTTTTCAAAGACTCTTATAAAAAAGTTTTCTTGTGAAATTATCAAATAATAAATTACTAATACTAAAAAAATTAACAATAAAAAGACTGGATCTTTATATATAAGTGATATATTTAAAGTATAGTTAAGATATAGAATTGGTGAACTATTTACTAGAATACTCAACATATAAAAAGTATTGTAAGAAATATATACAAAAGAATTAGAAGATGTATTGAAAGAATTTAAGAAACTTTTTCAGGAAAGAAAAGAGGAAATAAAAGAAAAAGATATATAGTTAATTACAAAAAAATAAAGAAAGATAAGAAAACTAGACAAATTAATCTTCAAACTTATAGAAGAAGTCTTCAAAAGTGATTATAGGACATTAAACTTTTGTACATGACTTATGAAAAGTAACTGGTTTATAGCAATAGCTGATTTCAAAATATTGCAATAAAATAATAGAACAAAAAGCTTATAGATGGATTATAAAAATACAGAAAAAGGTTTGTAATTATATCCAAAAGAAGATCTGGAATAAAAGATATGAATAGGTGATTGAATAAAAATGGTCACAGGGAATCAATAGAAAGGATAAAGTAAGAAGACCAGAGCTAAAAGTTCAAAAGATCAAGATTAAGATCAAGAAATTATCAATTCTTAAAGAAAAAAGATTAAATGCCAAGAATCTGAAGTAGATTTTAATAAAAAGAATTGAATATAAAATGAAATAATTGGATTTTGATTTCTATCAAAATTTCACAAAGTGATCTGCAAAGGTGACCTGTAGGCAATGATACTAATAGTTGGAAGAGTATTCACTTGAACTGTTAGTGAAACAATAAATCACTTTCGAAGTTGCACTTAGAGTAAAAATAGTTAAGACAAGTGAATTAGTTAGAGATTTAACTTTAGCATCACATTGATATGTAAAGTCTACAAAATGTTTAATAAAGCACATACAGTATAACTAGCCTGACAGGAAAAAAAAAAAAATAAAAAAAAAAAAAATTTAATTTATACACTATACATTTTTAGTATTTTATTTCATTACTACAAGTTGACGGACAAAAAGATTCGCAAAATCTGAATTTATATAGTCATTGTTAATACTTAGAATAATATGGAAAGTAATAATTTTGATCTGAACCGTTTTTTCCTTATTTATGCGGGATTATCTATCAATAATGATATACTCAAAAAAATCGGCTATGCCTTGTCGTTTAAATATTAAACAATTGTTATCATGAATGATTAAATCGTGCAGCATGCGTAACCATAATAAAATTTTGTATAAATACTACTAAAAAGGTATATTCAATGTTAATTTATATCGTTCATGTTGGTTATATTCATACTATCCAAAATATAAACCGAATTTAAAAATGGTTTTAAAAACGAGCTCGCGAAATATAAAGCTTACTTTAGCATATTTTGGAGCACTTCTTGTATCATCGGTTTGTGGTACCCAGTATCTCTTTTCTGCGTATAGCACCGCATTGGCGGATCGATTGGATTTTAATTCGGTGCAAATAAATACAATCGGCAGTGCAATAAATTATGGTACTTATTTGAGCGGTCCCTTCGCTGGATATATTGTCGATAATTATGGTTCTCGAAGGTAATTAATATAATTCTTAAATCTTGAAAGTTATAATGATATGTTTATACTAAAAAAAGTATTTTTTTTTCGAAAAAATACGGTTTAATTTCAGAGCGTGTTTTCTTGCTTCTTTTGTCGTCTTTACGGGGTATTTTTGTCTAGCGAAGACATACGAAGGAGTCTTTAAGACACAATCATTCATTTTGTGTGCCCTGTATCTTTTATTGGCTGGAATCGCATCATCAGCAGGTGATCGTCATTGTTATTAGAAGACATGCTAAAATTAAATAAGCAATAACATATAAACTCTAATTATACAGGATTTAATTCGGCTCTGGGAATAGTCGTAAGCAAATATGTTTTATTGGCGATTTCTTAGTTATCTACCTATGTACAGTATTTTACTTATTTATCTATATATTTAATTATTTGAAGGCCAGAAATCATGTATCGAATCGCGGAATTGCATTTGGTTTCCCAATGGCATTGTTTGGCCTTTCTGCTTTTATGTTCGCCCAAATAAACAATTTCTTCTTCAGAAGGGACAAATATGATTTTCTTATTTTTATTGCAATAGCAACTGGTTCGGCTATGTTTTTTGGAAGCTGGTTTTTGATCCGAGTTCCTCACGAAAATGATGAATCGATTGTTTCCACAGAGGACATCAACCAAGATACCGAAAGTCAGTCAGGCCCGTCAATTTCGAACCATGAAAGCGAACCAGAAATAGACCATATAGAGGAGGAACCTTTGATTCCTAAGAAACGCCGTTTGTCATTTCATGAACCGGATATTGGCGGTTGGGAATTGTTTAGTAATGGAGACGCGCTACTCTTCGGTCTCACCATGTTCTTCCTTGGTGGAACTGGATTAATGTATATCAACAACGTTGGAGTTATTGTCAAGTCTCTATATCTTAATTTGTCCCAAAATCAAAATTTAGAAGTTTCAAACAATTTTTCCGAGGGAATATACAGCGATAGAGCGACTCAAGAAATTCAGGAATTACAAAATTTGCACGTTTCTTTATTATCGATAAGTTCTTTTCTAGGCCGAATTTCCGCAGGACTATTTTCCGATATTACCAGAAATAGATACAACATTCGAAGATTGTTTTATATTATTTTATCGGGAATGTATCTTTTCACCGGCCATTTTCTTGGAGGTTTCATTGTAAAATCTCTTGGCATGCTGTATCCCATGACAGTTTTGATAGGGTTAGGGTTCGGCACGATGTTCTCTATTGCAATAACGATTACAAGTGAATGGTTTGGTTCGCGTAGAATCGGCATTAATTGGTAATTATAACTCGAAGCAACTTGATTGAAATTTTGTAATAAAGATGTATCGACGACTAAATTATTTATTTGATATCACTTTGATTAGGGGAATAATGTCTATTGTAAGTATTACTTTCATATATTCATTTACTCTTCTGTGCTCTATTCTTATTTAATGTCGTTATATGAAAAAGTTTCCAGCTCTGGGAGGTCAATTATTCAATCTCATTTTTGGATACAACCACGATCTACATCGAAGCAATTGTTCGGGAAGCGGATGCTATAACAAAGCGTTCTATTTTAGTATGTCAGGAACCTTAATGAGTTTGTGTATTTCTGTAGGGTTATTAGTGAGAAGGATTAGACGAGATAGATATACAACGATTCAAGATACAATTAGGTGAAATAAGTACACCGCATAGGTACTAATAATTAATTTAAATAATAACCAATTTTTTAACCCTCTATTAAGCTAGATAGATTACCTTATTAGAATTTCGTACTATATATTAAAGTTATAACTTTATCTACAGTATTATGATTTATTATATTTTTATTATATATTTTAAGCTTTAAATATAAACTAAAAAATAATTGATTATTTTATTACTAGTTTAAATATTATTGATACTTATAAGTTATTGTAAAAAAAAATTTTTATACAGTGTGAGACACTCGTTTTTGAAAAATTTTAATTAATCGTAATTTAATAATTTTGTTGATGTATTTCTATCAAGTGGATTGATATATACTTTCTTTTATATTGTCTCTAATATTTTTTTTTCCAACTTTCTATTTCTATATTTATTACTTTGTTAACTTGAATCTGTTCTTGATTCTTTTTTATTACCTTGAGTATTTCTTTTCCATAGTTGCCTTGCTCCTTGAAATCTTTAGTATCTGAGCTCTTCTGATAGATTTTCTAGTATTGAGATATAGGACCATATGTATTCTATTCCTTTTTTTTATCATTACACAATAACTATTTTTTTTAATATCTTTTAGGGTATCCAAGATATTTTATTAGACTTGTTACTTATTGATATTTTTCAGTTATTAAACAATCAAAGTGCTCTATTTTTATGTTATCTATTATACTTTCTCTTATTAGCTTTCTTCATGTAACTTGATCTTCTTTATTTTCTATAACAACTAACAGTTTTTACTATTTAATATAATCATATTTTACTATGAGGTATTTTAATTTATATTTTATATAATCCACTTTCCAAGGTTTAATGAGTTGTTCTATTCTTTCTTCTTATATAGTCTTAATTATTGATAAATATTATTCTGGAATTGGTTCCTTATCCATATTCTATATAAACTATAATATTCTTTAATTTCATATTTCTTTATACTAATAAAAAAAAAATTATTTGTTATATTGTCACTCATATAACATTTAGCAAAAAATAAACAATTTGGCAAAAAAATAATATAAATAAATTGATAACTATATAATTTAACTATAAATATTACAAAAATTGATATATTAATAATTTATCAAAAAATTTCATTAATTATTTAGCAAAAATTCATTAAAAGTTTGTTACAAAATTATTTATTAACAATTTAATAAAAATTCTATTAACTATTTATCAAAACTGTTTATTAAAAATTTGTTAACTATTTATTAAAAATTCAATAATAATTTATCAAAACTATTTATTAAAAGTTTATTAACTATTTATTAAAAATTCAGCAAATATTTATTAGCAATAAAATAAAAAAATTAATAAACTTATATATGAATTTTTTTTTGAATTTATAAATTATAAATAATACAAACTATAATATAATAAATAATATATAAAACATAGTGATAAACTCTTTCCGCTGATCCTCTGACTACGCACAAAAAAGATGTTCGCAAGAAATTTTTATACTTCTTTACTAATAAAGTCTTAATACTTTCCTTAAAACAATTTGAAGTATGACTTCAAGAGTCACCTCTACCCTTTCCCTTTTGTTTATAAACCTCTTCACTCAAAAACTTGACTTCTAGTGATCAAGAAAAGTCAAGTAACACCTTT